TTCTCTTCTCTTGAGGGTTCTCAAAAAAAAAAGTCACCTCCTTTCACATTAAAGATTTGCACAATTCAAATCCGATCATTAAAAACCAAGAGGTTCACAGACCGCAAAAATATATATACCCAGAGGTCATTTCGCGGGGGATCGCGGGGGATCGCAGTTCCCCCGGGTGAGGTACGGGGGGCGGGGCACATGACGAAGCCCCGCCCCCTGCTTCCGGCCGCCCCGCTTCCGGCCCTCATTCAGCCAGGAGGAGGCAGGAGAAGAGGGAGGGTAAGTTGCTTCCTCCCCGCCTCTGATGTCAGGGGGTGTGGCATAGGCTAATGAGTTACGCTAATGAGTTCCCCTAGCTCTTTTTCTACGAAACGACCCCTGTATATACCATTCGTAACTGTACTGAGAAATCCTCTTCTAGTCTCTTACCTTCCCAGCCTCCTCCATGAAAATCTCGTAGAGGATCCGGTTTTGTCCGTTAATAAGTGGTCTCATCACCTGGGAGAAAGAGAGGGTCAACTCTACTACGGAGGCATCTCCTTTGGGCCCCTAAAGATTACCCACCAATTTCACAGACACATAAGAGATTCTGAACAGGCAGCAGATGCTCTGGTTTCCTCTAAGGCCCCATTCATCCTGGGGCAGAAGACCCAGGGCTATCTTGGGGGCGGAACGCACAGGAACGGAGTTCTGGCTGGCTTACGAGTTGGCCACACCTACGGCCACCCCCTCGGGTTTCCCAGGTGCCTGTCAGGGGTGTGGCCTAACATGCTAATGTGTTTCTGCTGTTGGGTGTGGCCTATTATGCTAATGAGTTCCTGCTGGGCTTTTTCTACCAAAAAAGCCCTGAGAAGACCTATGTGTAAACAGCACCATTTGGGCTGAAGGTAGGACTCACATCATTATATTCTACTCTATGCACACAGTTGCTGTTGGAGTGAGTGACTTAGCATGCCTGGACACTGGGGGGCGCCACATCACTCTAAGTGCGTATAGGTGTTATCTCCTTGAACAGGCTGCCTCTCTTTGTCTTAGGCTGGGAGCTGCCCTCTGACCTCTCCTCGCTCTTTTGCTACGAAACGACCCCTGCCTCATACTCCCACACACATGATGCTCGACAAGCTGGCCATTTGGGATAGGGGAAGTCCTCTTTAGATGAAGGTTTTTTCTCTCTCTCCTTTCAACTGCAACCTGAATGTGAACTGGATCTACTTGAATAAATATAATTTTTTTACCTCTTTTGCCATATACTTCTTGGGAGATTTATTTACTGCACTCAAGTATCACGCTTCTCAAACTCTGCTATATTAACCAAATATCCCAGTATTTGCTTCCCATGTAGCATGTCAAGGAGAAGACCGGGCCACAGCCAATGTTCCCTCTAAGCTATGGAGTCTTGTGAGCAAAAATTCTACTTTGTGAGCTACTGGCATTGTGAGCGAGCGATCTGGCTACTGCATAAATTAGTTTGCTCTGGAGCAAGGCTCCCTCCAAGCTGTGGAGTCTTGTGAGCAAAAATTCTACTTTGTGAGCTCCTGGCATTAACGTTGTGAGCGAGCGGTTTGGCTACTGCATCAGTCAGTTTGCTCTGGAGTCATTCTTCCTGAGCGAAGACAGAAATGTGTGAGCTGGAGGCTAAAAAGCTGTGAGTTGGCTCACGCTAACTCACCGTAGAGGGAACACTGCTCTGGAGCCATTCTTCCTGAGTTAAGACAAAAATGTGTGAGCTGGAGGCTAAAAAAACTGTGAGCTAGCTCACACTAACTCAGCTTAGAGGGAACACTGGCCACAGCCCCATCCCACATGCTAGTTTTCTATCAGGGAGGTTATGGAATCATAGCGCTAACACACTTCACAATGTTCAAAGTGGTATAGCCAGTTGTATTAACTTCTTGAGGACTACGCCTTAGGGAGTTAATTAAATAAAATCCAGAATTTCTCCTCAGGAGAGTAGTCTTTGGAGCTCAGGTCACACCTGACGCGTCTCTACCTGCGTTCTCGTACTTCAGCTCTGGAAGTCGCGCTTTGCTCCTTTCTAGGTTTTAAGATTCCATTCGCCTCAGCAAATATGTTGCTGAGTGTTTATCACAGCCTCGAGGACTAGAAACTTGCCTTGTTTTCAGTGAAAGTTAAGATCCCAGAGTTAGGCAGACAAACAAAGCGCAATCCATGAAACCCACATGAAACGCGGCAGCAGATAAGAAGGATGAGCCCATACCTGCAGGGTTTTCTCCTCGGCACTGATTTCCCCGTCAATCTCACTGGAAGGAAAGTTAACATCATTAACAACGTCTAAATCTGCAGGCCTAGTCAGAAATCCCAAGCACATTGCCTGCTTTCATATTTGACGTTTTATTTATTTATTAAAACATTTATAGTCCACCTTTCCTCACGGTTCCAGGTGGCTGACAATAATACGACAAAGACAATTGTATTATTGTCATAGTTATAGAATTTACCCTTAATTTGCCAAACCTGCAATGCACAAAAAAATTCAAATTCTGTCCAAATGATCAGCTACTATAAACACTAATGTAAACAGACCATATTTCAAGTCAATGATTTCCACAATAAATCCAACTGTGAAATACCCTGGCTTTTCCTCAGCATCAGTTTCATTAACGTACATCGTTCTTTCACCGTTTCTATCCATCCTTCTTCTTGCATTCTCTTTCTCTCCACTTTTCCTCTTCCATCATCTGGCAAAAACCAACTGACCTGCTGAAATTATGTTAAGAATTGTCTCCCAGGATAAAGCTCTGCCCTCGCACATTGGGCCCATGGGATCCAAATCATTACTTCTTAAAATATCTGTTTTCCATTTCTCAGAGCCAGAAACCCACAAACTGGTGTGCCGTAAGCTATTGATCACAAATGATAAAACTCTCCAAAATCCTGTTCCCTGAAATAACTTGGGAACTCACGAGAACTGGTGTGGCTTCTTGGTGAAGATACGGATGGTGAAGTCGACGGTATCCTCCCACTGCTGAGGGGCACTGGGGATGATCACATAATTCCCAGGGGGCAGATGGAACCATCCTGCAATCTCTCTCGTTTGTTCGAAAGAATAGCCGACATTTTCGGGATTTTGGAGAAGTCTTCTTCGTTGGTCTGTGCTCTTCTGCTTTAGATACTAGAGGAAAAGTTGCAATCCCTGAGAAGGTTCTGCCAGAGATGATGCCCAGTCTTCGTGGACAGCTCAGCACAGCAAGGCGGCCACCAACTGGTCACCTGACCAGGAATAACTTAATGCTGCTGGTGAAAAAAATCTTTCTTCCGACTCACCCTAGCCTGAAAGAGGGCCCCTTCCCTTCATACAGCTAGTCTGGCCACCTGGATCCATGCCATGGTGACACCCAGACTAGCCTTCTGTGATGTACTGTAGTATTTTAATCCGTTTGGAAACGCCGTGAAGAGTGATTCAGGTGGGTCTGAATCAGCAGAACAAAGTGTGAGTCCAGGGGGGCACCTTTAAGACCAACAAAGTTTTAGTCCGGGAATAAGCTTTTGTGTGCAGATACCAGGGGTCATTTCCTGCAGGAGCGCACAGGAGCGGAGCTCTGGCAGTAAAAAGCCCAGGGGGCGGGCACATGCAACAAGCCCCACCCCCTGCTCCCAGCAGCCCTCAGTCAGAGCAAGAAGTAGCCAGGTAAATTGCAAAGCCCACCCACCCACCCACCCGGTCCAAAAAAGTCCACTGGCAACTTTAAGACCAAGTTTTATTCAGGTACAAGCTCTCCCTCCTCTGCAAGGACAAATCTGCACGTCCCCCCCCCCAATAAGCTAGCAATCCAAAACAGTCCAGTAGAGCCTGAGCAGTTGCCTTTTGACACCCGGTGATGTCAGGGGGTGTGGCATATGCAAATAAGTTATGCTAATGAGCTCCTGCACCTCTTTTTCTACGAAATGACCCCTGCAGATACCTATCTGACGAAGTGTGCATGCACACGAAAGTGTCTACCCAGAATAAAATCTTGTTGGTCTTAAAGGTGCCACTGGACTCAAGACTGTTTTGGAAACTCCAGTTGGTGCAGAATGCCACCACTCAGCTTTTATCGGGCCAAACACTTCATTGACTGCCTGTTTGTTACTGGGCTCAGTTTTAAAGTATTGGCTATCAGGTGCAAAGCCCTTCATGGCCTTGGCCCCTCGAATTTGTGGAACTGCCCCTATCCTTAAGCTCCGCCACAACAGCTTCATTCAAGTCAGCAGAGGCTTCTGCGGGTACCAATCTGCAAAATGGGCAAAATCAACTACTGCCCATACACGGCCTTCTCCTTTGTGGCCCCCACCTTATGGAACGGCCAGCCCGAGGAGGTCGGGAAAGCTCCCCCTCTCCTGGCTTTCCACCAACTATGCAAAACTGAACTATTCAAGAGAGCTTTTGTGTGCAGGCAATAGAGTTGCCCTGTTCCCAAAGGATTCACAAAGTTACTTGGAAAAATTATTAGGGACTGTGGTCTATACAGCTGTGTATAGCTTGCTGAAACGAAGATTTTACTATGGAATGTTAGCATCGTTTAATGTGTCACGTTAATACTTATGCTTGGTTTTAGTTCTGTTTAGATCTCTCTCTTTCTCTCTCTCTCTCAAAATAGGTGCTGGAATGCTCAAGAGGGAAATGAAGTTTTCAATCTGTATACTGAAAACCCATGAACTTTTAAACATATTTTAAAGAATTAGCTGTTGTAGATTTTCCAGGCTGGGTGTTGTCTGAAACAAACGGACAACACGATTTTGAGCTTGTGCTGCCTGAAGCTTTGCACACTGTCTAGGGCTATCTGGGGTTTGATTGGGAGTCTCCAGCCTTTTTCTCGGTGGTCGAGGGGAGATCGGTGGCTAGGCTGCTGTTTGTTTCTCCATCACAGTTGTGTTAGCCAAGCCCAGGCCGTCAGTGATTAGGCTCCAAGGAGAGGACTTCTGGTTGGTTCTACAACCCTAACCCTAGTGCACCATTTATTGAATGTCCCATCCTGTCAATTGTATTGGCTCACTCTGTCTCATGCACTTTGAGTGCAATATAGAACACAAATGCAACAAACAGATTAAATAATGGTAATAACTGCGTGCCACAGCCAGGACCATGGGTTTCCAAGGCAAGAAATGTCAGAGGCTCTTTGCCATTGGCTTTCTCTGCACGGCAACCCCAGTCTTTCTTGGTGGTCTCTCATCCAAGCAGAGGTCATTTCGGGGGGGATCGGGGGGATCGCAGTTCCCCCGGG